TTTATTATTATAATTTAAGTATTTTATTAGATTTATTATTAAATATTTAAGCTTTTTTAAAAAATTAAAAATGTAGTTTTCTTGTTATAGCTCTAGTTACAGGAGACCGGTCCCCTACGGGATTCGTCAATGCCTTTTCGGAACGGGCGTGGCAGCACGGCGCTTGCCTTGCGAAAGAAACGGCAAGCACTTATCTTCTGAAGCCTATGGAAGGAGGGAGACTGTAATTATGAGTGCCAGGCACTCGCTTTATAGATGATCGAGAGACTTTTAGCATGTTCTTTTTTTGCCCTTGCGGGTTAGGACGGTTGCGGAGGACCTGACGCACGAAGCTGTTTACTACCGTTTCCCATCCTATTTCTTTACCTTTAGCATTCATCTGTATCTTCCCCTGGAGCTAGCATTAAAAGATTCTCCATAACTATTAGTCACTCGAATTGGGGTAGCACGACTCTGTCCAGTTGGCTTTGGCATCGCGCCTCCGCTTTCGGGCCTTCCAACAAGTCGTATCTGCACAGAGTCCAAATGCAACACCATTCCTTCTCACAACCACAACCCAAAGCAGATATACAGTACATAGAGTCTCTCTCTCCCCCTTGAATTGCCCAAAACCCGGCTAACTGACTATTTGAGGAACTGACCGGAATGCACTGAGTGTACGGCACGTCTGTCGACGTCAATGTAGGATTAATCTTGAGGGGGCGTCGCCGGAGCGACCTTTGTGTGGTTTGATTGGGCAAGGGCGATGAACCAACCTCTTGACGCGGGGATGACATAAAAGGCGGTGACATTCGAAAAGCGACATATTTTCATGGTAGGAGACTACAGAACATACCGACATAATATTAGGATATGCAATTTAGTTTTACACGTTTCGCTTATTACTCTTCTATACTTTACGCATTTAGATTATGCCGAAAAACTCGCCTAGAAGAAGCCCCAAGCTTCCACGATTACTCCCTTATAAAGGGCCACGACTAAGCTACGACGCAGCTGAGGAATCGGAACCCTCAAGATGCAAGCGAAAACCTGTACCAGTTGCTTGTGAGTCTTGTAGAAGTTCCAAATCAAAGGTACTTGGTCGCACACCCAGCCAACAAAGGTATTGCTGGAAAAGTTCATTCACTAAAACTAAGCTATTATTCTAGTGCTCGGGCGAAAGTCCATATTGCGAGGATTATAATCGCCGTAAAATAGTATGCTGTTATAGGGATGTGAGAGCAGGAGAGTCTTACTATAAAGCATTAAAGCGGTCCAACTATAACCTACTTTAGAAGCTTAAGATCTATAAGGAGATTTTTCACCTTTTAAGAACTTCTCCATAAGAAGTGTCTGAGAAACTTTATCGGCAGATTAGGGCAGGAAATAATGTTTCTTTAGGTCAGCATGAGATGGAAGGCGCAGGCTTACTACTGCAACTACGAAACAGCCGTCGTTAAGCTTACATTACGGGAACTATACTATTGCGCTAAAAAGAGCAAAAGCGTAGGCCGACTAAAATCTCTCTAGCAGACATAATAGTGGCATATATTCTTCGCGACATCTACAAGGCGTTCTTTTTTTCTTAGTCCTTGGCAATTGTGTAGTGGTCAGAGGCCCGAAAGCGGAGGCGCGATGACTAAAGTGGCAATTTGACGGGATGTTATGCGCCGTTGGCAATATGATGGATGCGCCAAATATATTTCGCCTGCAGGAATCCTAGATAAATTAAAATACTACGTGACACCGCGCCCTTTGGAGCGGTGGTGCAAGGCGTACAATCAGCCGAGGCTGGGTGTTTGGGCCAACAAAGTGCCTTATGGAGTAAGTAACTAGTTACCCATTACTAGCTTTGTGGTGGCGCCACTGCTGCTACGAATAATGTGCATTTGAAGCTCTCGAGCCGGCAGCCCAGCAGTTTTGGAAGCCGTTGAAGTCGAAGCACTCGAGCCGGCAACAACCTTACTTGAATTGTTTAATATGGTCAGATGATACGGTATAAAGACGTTCAATTTCAAGTACCGTATGTCTACGCCAATATCGCCGAATAGTGGAAATAGACTTCATCCTACCTCCACACCAATTGATTTTAGCTAGGATAAATCCCATCCCCTTAAGCTGCCCGCGGATCCAGAACTCCGACTTTGAGAAGCCTTCCTTGATTACTTCTTTCCTTCCTCGTCTCCTCGTCGTACATCACGCAGAGAGATACGATGAGAGCGATATCCATACCAGGTGCAATTGTCACGTAGTACTATATCATAATCAGTCTCGTTGCTCATCTCTCATGTCTTCCACTGAAACTAACGGCTTCCAGCAGGGAGTAAAACATACCGTATCAGCATCTCCCAGAATCTGCCGAGTATTGAAGTAATCTCTAGTTATCTGCGCAACTGGCCTGTCATTCCATGTAATCGTGCAATAACGACCGATCCAGTTACCCGAGAGCGCGAGCTCAATGGGCTCGCTGTTCCCGGCTGTGTTGACGAATGACACTGTCATGCGGGCACCTCCCACTGTTACATGTGCGTTAGTCACAAAAGGGGCAAAGATATGATGGTTAAAGTATGAAGGGGGGAAAGCTCATCGTGTAACGGAGGAAGTGGAGGAAATAAAAGGGAACACAAACAATGCCAATGTCCTTGCACGTGGAAAACCTCCCGCCCATCCGGTCCCTCGCCGTAATACTGCCTGGGGATACTGAGCGGCTTGTGCTTCAGTGACCAGAGCTCATTGCCCTGCATATCATAAAAGAACTTTTGGTGGTGCAGGCTGAAGAGTTTCGCCTTGCACTGCAGCAGCTCCACGTTGGACACGTCGCGGATCTGGAAGCTGCCTTGGGCCAAGGCCCAGACCTTCTCCTTCATGACCAACGTCTTTTGGCCGTTGACGCAGAAGGAGGGGACGATGCCCAGAGCATGGGGCAATGGAGGAAGCACAATAGGCCCGGAACTTGAACCGTGATGGGGCATACACACGCCAGTGACTTTGATTGTTTGCTCGCCGTCCAGGTGCCACCATCTCAGCCTTTGAATTGAGCTATTGTCACTATCATCCGTTGTGATGGTCCACTTTCCTGAAGTAACTTCGACTTCACACTTGTCTTTTGGGAAATGGAACTCCGGAAGTGAGATATCTGTCGTTTGCGCGTCTGGAACTGTCTCGTGACCAAGGAGCTTCAAGGTAAAGGTGCAATTTCGGAGGTCAAATCCATGACTAAGAATCGTGCCCGCGATTGCAACAGGTGATGGTCGCACATAGGCTTCCGCAGCTCGGAATCCAGGATTGTTTGTTAGTTCAGGCACATCCGTCATTCTTGATGTGATCGAAGGTGTTCTCAGTTTTGCTTTCAAGTTGCTCGGGTTTACTGTCGACTTATCCAAGCTTTCTCTCATATTTAGTCCTGTGTGTTGAAGTAAAGATGTTGTTGATTCATTAGATAGACTGGCTGCCGTGGGAGAAAGAGGTAGCGGCAGGTCATCAAGAGAAAATATCGACAAGTCCTCTCCGTTCCACTGGTCGCCCAGCTGGTGTTTATTCTGCGTCCTGTCAAGCGAGAGCCCGATTTACGAGCAAATATCAAAACTTACCTGGCACATATACTGCCACAACGTATATCCTCCCATGAGGCTACCCTCGACTGCAAAATGATTCGCATCCATAGCACCAGACTGGCTGGAGTAGTCCCCTGTCTTGTAGGCGTGCTTGTCATCCATATCAAACGGAATACCAAATTCTGTCAAGACACATGGATGATTGCCCATATAATCTTCACCCTCTTTTCTGATGGCTGATAATTGATCTCTTAAACAATTGCGGATTGCCGTCTCTCCTAGCTTTATCGCGGAGGCCGGGGTCAAATACCGGCCACGCAAGACGCCGAAGACATTCACATTCCAAAACCTATTCCACTTTTTAGTCATCAAGGTAATACCGTCATAATAATGCGGTGCGTAGACCATTTTTGGATCATCATCTGCGTTACCTTTGATGGAGGGAGGAAGCTCTAAAACCGGGGGTTGGCAGAAGATGATGCAGTTTTGGTGGTGTGCTCGGATTGCATCCCTAAATCTTCGATAAAAGTCCATAAAGTAAGTGTTCGTGAACCCCTCGTAGTCAATGACTTCATCTGTATGCGGACTCCTGCTGAAGTAGTCCTTCCTCAGCAATGTGTCGGTGTCGGGGTCCCAGACACCGTGCTGCGACCAGACGCACTCCCCAAGTTTCCATCCAGCATCTCGTTTGTAGCCATATCTTGAATCGTCATAATCAGCTGGAAGCCATGCAGTCTTCCCCTGTGGATCCACAAGAGTGAGACCAGACCTATAGGGTCCCATGCCCCCAACATCCCAAGTATCCACCTCGCACGCTCTACCAGAGCCCGTCAATATTGCTTGCCATGCGGTTGGCGCGGTACCCTTTTTGAGCTGCTGCTCGCTTGGCAGGACCGTCAAGTCTGCCCAGCCAACCAGTCCACGGTTCGGTTCATTCATACTTTCCCACCCAATAACAACGTCGTCTTCTAGATCTCCAGCCTCGTGTACACGTTTGGCCAAATGTGCGCAAGCCTTTATAAAATGATCTTGAAGGTAGTCTTGTACGTTTTGGCCATCTATTATGCACTTCGAAGCAAAGTCACGGCCTGCAAAGAAGAGAGTGCACATGGTAGCGCACGCCAGTCGATTGTAGTTCGTGGCCCATATCATTTTTGGGAAATTCTCCGGTTCGGGGTAAGTATTGTGTACCAATGCCGCTTCAGTTACCGCCAGGCTCTCGGGATTCAGGCCACAGGCGTACAGAGTCCACATGGGGGCTCCAGAGCCACCTGTAAACCTAGACCACTGTGGAAGATGGATTAGCCTGTGAATGAGACTGGGAAGGGAGGACGCACAACATCCTGATGCGGATCCAAGAAGATGTAGAAGCCGTAATCTCTTGCCTCCCTTAAGACCTCAATTGTATGTTGAATCCATTCTTCGTCGTATTTGCCTGGCCCGGCCGCCTCGATTGTCTCCCAGGTAAATATGTATCGGATCGTATTGTAGCCCCACTGTTTCAGCCTGTCGAAGTGGACATGAGCCGCTTCTCCCGGGAAAGGGCGAGAATGAAAATTAACATCATCTCCATCAAAAAACTTGTCTGGTATATGAGACGGGAGGTCCGGAGAGCTGGGATACTTTGCGTCCCCGGCGAGATTGATTCCTCGGAGCATTACTTGACGGCCATGGGCATCGCGGAACTGGCCATCTTCAATGGTAAGCCGTAAGGGCATGTTGTGCTTGCCCGAATCCAAGAGTTGGACGGCTTCGACAAGAGGACGTCGGGATCCAGCTTAAGAGGGGTAGCTCAAAACGATACCAGGGACATAGGATAAGGGAGTATCTCGCTGCCTAAATCATCCAGTAGATAAAAGTGCGTTATCAAAGAGGTCCACGTAACATGGCCTTGGAAGAGAGAAAGCCAGAGGAGGTAACCGCTGACGGGTCTCTAGCGTCCGCAAGGCGGGAAGGGACGGCAGAATAATTTGCCACTGAAACCTTGTCAAGGAACGGAAGGCAACTTCCGACGAAATATGCCAATAGATGGCCGAAATTTTGGATAAAACCTGGACGGTATACTTTGGAGATAGCATTATACTATTTTACAAAATTTCAATGGCCTGTCATGGTTGCTCGATGTTCTTGGCGTTGTCTTCCTAGGTACCTCACTTTTGAGCGGGTATGGTGGGAAGCGGTTGCGGTGGGATGCACGTTACGAACGGAGGCTAGTGCACTGCATGTAACTAACATGATCCCAATAGGATGCATTTAGTACGGCGTAATGTAATATACTTTTACGCGCTTATACATCTGCAGACCTCTTGGCATTGCTTGGGGGGTCTTAAAGTCAACCCCCCGTGAGTGTGGAGCACCACGGGGGGGACACTGAGTAGAAAATGGTCAGTGATTCGGAAAAGGCTTTTGGTACCTCGAAATATATGGATACCACATAGTAAGAGAAGTAGCCTTTTCATGCATATCTCTACCTTAATGCCCTTCGGGAACCCTGCCGGGAGCCGCCTAAGCTGCTCTTCTCTCTCCTTCTATTTTATGGGGGCCAGCCCCCAAACCCCCACTCCTCACTTCGTTCGACCTTGCCGTTGCGGGACTTGCGACAGTCCAGGCAGTTCTTGGTGTTACGGGCAGATTTCCGTTTGCTCACGAAGTCGCCCGTCGGTGCTTCTCGTCGCAGCGGGCACAGACAATAGACCCAGAACTCATTATGTCATGAAAGACGTAAAGAGAAGTTGCGAGTTCCCATGTGAAGCAAGATGATAAACAGCTCAGGGGCGCAAGCAGGGGTCGCCAGACAGGTTCTCCTTTTTGGGCGGCGTCGTCCAGTTGCGCCTCGTTTTGCCATTTCATGTCATGACTTTGCTCAATTCAACATACAATGCCCGCTAGGCTCGATATATCTCGTCTAAATTTGGCAACCGATTTTAGACTACATGCTCATCTACGGAGTACAATTGTGCTTCATGTCCGCGTTCCCAACGACGCCACATCAGCCAAACTTGATTCCCGACGCGGGATTCCAAACTTTTGCTGATCCACTGCCTCCCTGTTGTCCACCATCAGTCCTTGGTGCCGGCGGACCACTACCGCCAAACTTGATCCCCATGGCTGGGTTCCACATTGTCGTCATTGGATTTGTTGTCTGCGGTGCCATGGGTTGTGGCTGCCGTACCGTATCCCCAGCCCAAGACTGTATTGAGGCTTCAACCGGGTTGGGCGCCGACTGCCTTGCTGCGTGGTCGTTTTGTCTTTGGGGCGATGTTTGATGTTGCTGCGCAACTGGCTCGGGCGCAAAGTAAGCCGGCTGTGGTGTTTGATACTGTGTTGGAGCAGCACCTTGCAAAGGGGCGTGGTCGCGCGACAAGCTGAGTGTTGAAAGTGGCGGCATGCTCAGTTCTCTGCGAGGCCGGTAAGCAAGCACACTATGCACAATCTGACAACGCAAGAGAATACTAAACTTACTCTTCCAGCACCCTGGCCTCCATACGCCGTTGTGCCACCCAGCCTTTGACAACATCTCGAAAGCCCTGTCCAACAATCTTGTTGAGGTCATTGTAAAACTTTCTGCCAACTTCCAGGTTGTTGATGATTTCCTTGTACTTGAAATACGCACTATCCAGCTTCTGCAACGCCTGTTCTCGCTCTCGAGAGCCTCGGTCACCGCATCTGCGTTTTTGGGCCTCGAATTCTGCGTTTGCCCGCTCCACTTCTTTCAATAGTCTTTCCTGTTCGAGCGATTCTTTATCCAGGGCCTCCAACTCTGGCTCATATAAACGATCCAGACGCTTTTCGAAAAAGTCTTCAAAGTGAGCCGGAACAATCGCAGTCGAAGGGTACGTTCTCTCTAACCGGGCAGCTTCTTTCAGGATATCCGGCTTGATATCGTCTTTGCGCGCATTCTCTCGCAGTGTCTCGACCTTTTTCCTTCTTCTACTTTCAAGTCGTAGGACATCATTATATGCGCTTCGCAGTTTGCCGACAGATGCCTTGAGCTCAGGATTCGTGTCCCGTTGAGAGCTTGACGGCACAAAATCCATCAGGGCCCTGTCCGACCCGCACAAGATATGTAGCAGCTCCTCGTTGGCAGCAAACTTTTCTCGTACGACACCATCGCTGCTGGCGCTGCTCGCAAAATATCCTTCAATTTCGCCGGCATGTCCCCACAACTTGCCGCCTTGGGCGTCACTCTGGCTCTCAGGTCGTGTCCACCGATCGGTGCCATACTTCCTCCTCGCCTTCTGGTCCTCTTCTCTCTCAGCCGCCAGGGCCGACGTGCCTTCCTCAAAGATCGCAATATCTGCAGCCCGTAGCTTATCAATGTCCGTAAAGCTCTTTCGGAGTCTACCTATCGCATCTGCTTGTCTTAATTCCTCGGCATGCTGTACTAGACTTGGGGGTAGGCCAAGAGGTTTTTCCAACGCCTGGAGCGAGCCAGGGAGGCCAATAGCGCTGAACAGGGAGTGGATTTTGTCGTTGAGAACTTCCAGGTCCTGGATAATGTTTTGGTTGACCATCCGATCGCGACGTTCTTCATATATAGAGATGGCGACATGAACGGAAAAGGGCACCAGTTTTGAAAACAACGCAGGGCCGAACTCTGCTCGGTCGCCAAGGAAGTCAAATGGGTTCGCCACTTGAGGCGGCACACGAGCTACCGCCATGTTGGCTCTCTCCAGCGTCTTCAGCTCTGATTTGGGAGGGACGGGATCTGAATCTTGTCAGTCTGTGTGTTTCCGCGCCAGGCCTCTGGGGTAAGTAAAAGCGAGTTTTCCACCTACTCAAGAAGATCATGTCATTGTCCTTTTCGGCTCTCTTAAGATCCTCCTCCACCTTTCTCTTGAGCCCGTTCAGGTCGTCGACGACAGTCTTGTTGAGATAACCGCCTTTGGTCTCCTTAAGACCTTCCGTCACGCAAGCAACTGCGTCTGTTAGTCTAGCGACCTCCTCGCCATACTTTCTCTTTTCAAGGCAGTCACACGCAGCACGATACTGCGCCGCTGCAGCAAAATGGTGGTGTTTCGCAGTCATGTGGTGAATCCAAGCGCTGCTGATGGCTTCGCTCTTCGTGGCTGCCTCGCCGGCCAAATTATATAGGTCGGATACTCTAGCAGCCAGCTTTGCTATTGAGGCATCCTTGTAACCATCGACAACAGCCTTCTGCCAGAAGCACTCTTGGCTCTGTGCAAGAAATAACTGCATCAGGGATTCCAAGGTGTGTTCATCCATATCCTCTGGGGGGTCGTACATCCGAAGCAAGGGCACGACCTCCTTTTTCATGTGAGAAAGCACTCCGGCGGCGAGCGAAAACTGGTTGGCAGCGGTTTTGATGCCTTCGGCCGTCCCTCGGGACGTGTTGACTGCGAGCTGCGAGTACAAGGCTGCCAAGTTGTAAAGAACGTTGAGGAGCTCGTATTTCATGTTATTTCGCACCATGGGTCGCTCGGTGTTGTAACCTAGGGCGGGATACCAGGTGAATTCCGCACCAATCTGTCGCGATGAGGGGGAGTGGCTCGTTGTCAGCGGCGCTCAGAAGGAGCAGGATACGAGGATGTGACGACGTACATCGATTGGAAATTTTCCTGATATCCAAGCCAGTTGTCCTGCATAAGCTTGAAGCTTCTTGATGCCACTTGGATGCGGCTCGCGAACGTTGATGGCATCTTGGCGCAGAGCATCAATGACCTCGAGGTCCTGTTTGAACATGTCTGGATGCTGGTCATACTTGCTGTTGATGTATTGTCGGATGATCGAGGCGAGAGATAGCTGCGTCGATCGCCGAAAAGGCAGCGACAATATGCTGCCGGTGCTAGTACCACCAGTGTTAGCAACGATGCTGTGCTTATGCCTGTGTTTTGCAGTATGGGATGCGACACCAGCTGGTAACTGCGACGGCTCGGAAGCAGAGCTCAGTCTCGTTGTCGGTTTGTCAGGCTCAAAACTCACGTCGCCATTCTGGGAGATTTGAAGTCCTGGATACGCAGCCTATGCGTACATGCTACAGTCGCGCATTGTTATCTTGCCTTCAGTCATGAGGCGCAGAGTGCGTCGTGGCAGGAAACGCGAGATGTCGACTAGACCAGACGTGCATGAAGGATTGGTCTGTTGTTTCTTGGTCAAGTCGGGGCTGTTGATCATGGAGGGGCACAACATGGTGAGTCAGCATTGCCAAGCTAACCAGCTCTGACGTCACTGTCACCTGCCAGTCACAAGCAACAACAAATATGGAACAGCTACATATTTCCATTTAGTCCATGTTTGTTTACATACATGTTATTTTAATTTTTATCATAATTATTATCTCCTTCTCTTCTTCTTCGATTCTTGCATTTCGTGTTGGTAGCTTTCCAGGCACGACCAGACACAACGAGTGCCCATCGCCCACCAGATCCATTCGTGTAAGTGCGGCGACACCGACAAAGTCTTGGTGCTGGAACAAGAGGCGATGGCTGGTTCAACGCGGAATATGCTTGTTTGTGGAGCGTATTCAAGTCGTTACTCACTGCGAGGTACTCGCTTCCTATAATCGATGCTGAAAATGGCCACGCATTGCGCGGGAGCTTATGGACACGAACAGCTTGTCCACTGCCTCTCATGCATCACTAGTAGTGGTTGCAATGGCATGGACATAGCCGCCAAGCGCGAAGATTATAGAGACCACGTTGTGCCCAGCGTACATGAGCCACATAAACGGAAGCTGTACAACATAATAGCTTCCGCCTTATCATCATAGCCTACTTCTCTGTCGACATAATCCGAGGGTGTATGAAGAAACACCATGATTAGGGCAGCTATCCCTCACATGCCCTCAAGGAAGGATGTTCGATGGAGCTCCGGTGGATTCAAGGGTTTTATTTGGAAGTCGAGGAACGGTCACATCAAAGAGTTTCAAGAGCTTATAAGAGCCGTATCTGAATACATGATTCAAAGAAAACATCGCAAGCCCACAATTTTAGAGTTGAAAATGGCATATAATGGCATATAGCGACGCGGTACTGGAGAAACCACCGGACATATATTCAAGGGGCAGTCTACCAATGCCCCCCTCTGGCGGTCTTTTCGTCCGTGTGATCGTGAAGCTTGTGATTATTTCCTTGGGCGCGCAAGTCTGCCAAGTCAAGCATGCTTCTGAAGTGCTCGAAGCGCTGCCTCGTGAGTGCCTACGGCCAGGGTGGTCAGTAATGCCGTACGCCTTGGGAGACACACTATGCTCACTGCAGACGCCTGCCAAGGCTGACTGCGAAAGGCATCATCGTGCTAAGTATCGCCAACCCACCCCCCATCGCACACATGGCTCCCGCCAGTAATGGCACTCGAGTCATCCGACGCCAGGAACAACATCAGCCTGGCGACCTCGACGGGCAGCAGGACGCGCTTCAGACACTGGGCAGCCAGGCTCTCGGCCTTGTACTCGTCGGTGAGCACAGTGTCGATCTGCCGCTGGGTGGCAATGGAGCCCGGCATGATGCTGTTGACGCGGACGCCGTGTCGGCCAAACTCGCGGGCGTGCGTCCTGGTCATGCCGACGACGGCGGCCTTGCAGGTCGTGTAGACGGGGACCTCGGTCGCGGGGATGCGCCAGGTGATGGAGCCCATGTTGATGATGCTCCCGGCGCCCTGGCGCTGCATGGCCGGCGCGATGTGCTGCGTCAGGAAGAACTGGTGGCGCAGGTTGACGTTGACGTCGAGCGCAAACGACGCCGGCGTGACCTGGCTCGTGGGCACGCGCGAGCCGGGCCCGGCCCAGCCAGCATTGTTGACGAGCACGTCGACGCGGCCAAACCGCGCGAGCACCGCCTGCGCGCACTCCTGGAGCCAGTCGAGGTCCGTGACGTCGCAGTGCATAAAGGTCGGCGTGGTGACGCCCCCGACCGAGGTCAGCTGGCCCAACAGCTTGCGCGCCGAGTCGTCTGCAATGTCCAGGAAGACGACTTGCGAGCCCTGTCTGCAGAAGAGTTCCACGGCGGCGGCGCCAATGCCCTCTGCGGCACCCGTGATCAAGACGACTTTGCCGCGAAGACTGGGATATATGGCGTATTGGTCCATGAGGGTTAGGGTTATTTGTCTCGCCAGCTTTTGTTTCTGTTGGAGCAAGAGTTCTCGTCGTGGGGGAAAGGGAGGAACTACAGGATTTCGGGACATTGGCTGTCAAAACATATATATCTAAACCAACGCCTTTCCCGACACAATGTAACATTGCAGTCCTGCGGGGGTTACATTCGAGAGGTGTTGTAATTATTACCCCGCCTTCATGATGTCGCTTGGAGTTCATGTTCCAAAGATGGCCACGCCAAGACCGAGTTTGGCAGTTCACGCGTAGGTGACATTCATCTGCAGTCAAGTCCTTTCAAGAAGCCTGGTCTATTGGTTGGCAGGAGCTGGTGGTGCAAAGCATTACCAACTGGGTATCCTTGTACCTCAAGCTAGCCAGGTTGAAGGCATATACAAGAATGTCGCCGCAGTCACGGCCGAAATGCAGTCAACAATAATGGTAGATATGAATTTCTGTTACTGTTACCGTTACCGGACGCGCTTTCATTTCTTGACATCTTTTTTCCCCTTCTTTCTGGCTCGCAAATGCCACACTCACTACGCATACTTGACATCACCAACATGCGCATGACTTCCATCATCTACATACGCCGGCGGCGCATCAGACGACGCTTCACCAGGGGCAGCACCCGCAGGCGGCGCATTCGCCGAGGGCACGTTTCCAGACCCTGGAGGACCTGACGCCCCAGACGCAGACGCAGACGAGTGATGACCCAGGGCTCCCGCCTCAGCGCCGCGGAGCGTCTCGAGCAGCGCGCGAGCGCCGACGGGCCACATGTTCCGGGGCCCCTGGGGAGGAACCTGTCCTTGGAGGATCTGCTGCACCGTGACGGGAGCTCCGTAAAACGAGGCGTTGGCATCCTTGCGCTCCACGACGACGGTGCCATCGACCTGGATGCCGGCGTAGAACCCCCTCGACTTGACGTACGAGAAGACGGGCTTGAAGGCGCTGGTGCTGAGACTCCGGCGCTTCGGGTCCTTGGACGCAGCCCCCGCGTCAGGCTTGAGCGCACCCGAGGGCTGGGCTTGGGCGGCTGCGGGCTGCGCATCTGAAGCCGCGGTGGCCTTGTTGTCCGCGCCGTCTCTCCCGCGCTGCACGGCGGCACCAAAGTCCACGGCGCCCCCGGCACCATAGGGCCCGGCCACGACGGCCAGATCGCTCCCGAGGCTGACGCGCGTGTTCATGAAGGCGACAAGGGCCTCCCTGCTGTTGATGACGCAGACGCAGTCGTAGATGTCCAGGCCGATCTGGAACCCTCCCCCGACGGAGTGAACCTGGATGCCCGAGGGTGGGCTCCATGATCCATCGGGCAGCCGCGCAATCAGGATGCCGGAGCCAGTGGCGCCGGAGACCTGGAAGCCAGCACGGAGGGTGGTGAAGATGGCGAGGCCGACTGCTTTGGAAATAACCTTGGGCGGGATCGTGACAATGACGCGGTTCTTGGGCTTCTCCTTGGTCGGGTCAATGACGCCGGTGCTAGATTCCTGGGCTTTCGGATCGGTAGAGGTTGGGGGTTGGCCGGCCCCAGGGTCAGCATAGACACCTTTGGCTGCGGGAACGTGTGTGTTAGTTCTGGAACGGGTCAGGAGCTTCCTTGTGTGTGTATACATACTGCAGAAAGATCTCAGGATGGCGGCAGACTTGTCGCATTCCTTGTCCAGGGTCTCGGGCAAGAAGCTTTGGCTGCCGAGCTTGTGGGCAAGGCTGTTGATGGGAGCGGCGGCTCCGGCGCTGACAAAGTGCTTGAAGCGATCACCCCAGCCGGACTTTTTGTGAGTAGTTTGTGAGGGTTGCTGCTGCGGCTGCGGCTGCTGCTGCTCTTGAGGCTGTGGTGGTTGCTGGTGAGCGTACGACTGTGCCGGACCTGGATGGCCCGTCGGTGTTTGGGTGTCATGCTGAGCTGTTGTCGGGGGCGGGGCAAAGACTGGATTGGCGGGATTGTATACTGGTATGGCATGTGCGCTCTGCTGCTGGTGGTGAGACTGCTTCTCGTCGGCTGAAGCTGGCGGTGGAGGGGGAAAGGAGGGCTGCTGCTGATGCTGCTGTTGATGCTGCTGCTGCTGCTGAGACTCCTTCTCGTCGGCTGGAGCTGGCGGCGGGGGAGGAAAGTATGGTTGCTGTTGATACTGTTGATGATGTTGATACTGTTGATGCTGCTGCTGCTGGTGAGACTGCTTCTCGTCGGCCGAAGCTGGTGGCGAATGGAAATACTGCTGCTGGTCTGGCTGCTGTTGGGGGTGCGGCCGATACTGCTGAGCGGCTGGAGGCTGCTGGAAGTGCTGCTGCTGCTGCTCAGGCTGACCCTGCTGTGACGGAGGAGGGCCCGGCGGCGGCGGGGGATAGTAGGTGTTCCCGCTGAGCTCGGCAGCGCCCTCGCTGGGCTTTTCGTTGCTGGACATGGTGGCGGCGAATCTGTACAAGGTGGCAGGACGATTGCAAAATTGCGTTGAGGTGATTTGATTCCAGGCAGGGCGAGTGGCGGGTTATATATATATCGCCATTCGTCACTTGAAACTTGAACAAACGGGCCAGCCTGGGCCATGGGCGGGCGGCCGCTCACCACTGATGTCATTGTGTGTGGCTGAGGGAGCAGATGGACTCGATGGCCTGACGCGCCATCAATGCTACCAGCCTTTGGCGTGGCCGTTGGAGACGAGGACCTGTTGATCGCCTACTCAAGTACATATAGACTCATTATGGCCGGACGGCGGCACGTCTCGTCTACCGGGAAAAAAAATTACTGTGCCGTCTGTAGCGACGTTGATACAAAACGGCCGTCGGTAGATGTCTGGTGCAAGTTCCATCAATCAACTTTAAAGGCGGTCAGAGCAGAAGGGACTCGACAATTCCTCCGAGTGCGGCCGTCAGCAACCACCGCCGCATTCATGCACGCCAAACTCCGAGACCGTCTCGCCGACCACCATAAGTCCTGATGCTCGGGTCAACCCTTTGTCATCGGCCGCAGCAACTCCTCTGGCCCCCATCGGCGTGCCAAATAAGAGACAAGGCAAAAGAAAAAGAAACTCCGAAACAACGCAAGCTCGCAACCCCCCTTATACTCCCGCCTCATCACCACCATCTTCCTCCTCCTCCCCCTCCCCCTCCCCCATCCCCCTCTTCCAACACCCACATCGCCAGCACACACAATGACGGTCGACGACACGCTCTCCTTCCCCCGCATCCTGTGCCTCCACGGCGGCGGCGTCAACGGCACCGTGTTCCGGCTCCAGTGCCGCGCCATCATCGCCCAGCTCGGCCACCGGTTCCGCTTCGTCTTCATGGACGCGCCCTACACGTCCCGCCCGCACCGCGACATCGTGACCGTCTACGGCGAGTTCGCCCCTTTCTACCGCTGGCTGGCCTGGAGCCGCGAGGAGCCGGGCCTGCCGCCGTCGGCGCGCCCGGGCGACATCATGGACGCGTGCCTGTCCGCCATGCAACGCGACGCGGGCGACGGGCCCTGGGCGGCGGTGCTGGGCTTCTCGCAGGGCGTCAAGTTCGCCGTGCTCATGGCCGGCAGCGCCCCGATCCTGCACCTCGACCTGCGCCTGCCGCCGCCGCCGCCGCACGTCGCCAGCCCCTCCGCCTTCAGCACCGACTTTGACGACTACCCCGACGGCCCCTCGCGCGGCCACCACGTCCTGCGCCTGCCCACCCTGCACGTCCACGGCCTGCAGGACCCGGGCATCGACAGGCACAGGTGCCTGCTCCAGAGGTACTGCGCGCCCGGCACCGCGCGCCTCGTCGAGTGGGATGCCGGCCATCGACTGCCCGTCAAGACGGCCGATGTCAGGGCCGTCGTCGCCGAGGTGCTGGACCTGGCGCGGGAGACGGGCGCAATTCCACCAGACACCTCATAGAATCGCCGTACCGGGACGTGGCATAGATGGAATAGACTCATAGAGGCTTGATTCCCCAGACCGGCAATCGTTTAGACCCCTATTTTTTCTTTTTTTCTTTTTTTTTTAAAAAAAAGATACATACTACAGGCGGCGTGAGCTTCGTGTGTGGCTATAGAGGATGAAGATAAAGAACGTGTATGATCCGTCCGCTTTCATTTCTTCAGATACACATGCCTCATGCCGTCACGCGTGCTCCATGCGTACGCTTACAACATTACACAGTCCAGCACCGGTACATTATCATATTCATGACGGAAGAAAACTTCATCTACTCCACCAGTTTTGTCTACATACGCACAACCCACACCCTCACCTTCTCTAGTCCCGCGACACGCCCGCGCTCATTACCCGCTCCCCCTCGTCATGCCATGTCATGCCACGCATTTTATGCTCGGCAATCGCCTATGCGGAAACCAACTATGTAATAAACATAGAATATAAGCCCACCAAACTCCGAGCTCTTCGTTTCAATACAAGAAAAGGCTATATGTCTGTGCAAACAAGAGTAGAATCGTGCAGAGAGAGAGGAAAAATTTACATCTTGTCTTGGCTAATAACCTTGCGGTAATAAAAAAAAGGCGCTACCATGTCTCTGTCTCATGTCCGTCTGTACCCCAACGATCTCAATCGGTCACAGTTTGGCTTGGGATACTGGTTCGCCTGTTCCATCTTTTCCACGTCCTCGTAGAACCAGCCCATGGCATCCTCTCGTAGGCGACGCTGGGCAATGTTTTCGTGTTCGCACTTGTTGTCCAGGAAGCGGATGAAATTTGCCTCGGCTGTGTGATCCAGCTGCGCAAGCTTGGACTTGCTGAGCGACTGGACGTCCTTGGGGTTGACAAAATACTTGACTTTGTGGTTGGGAGTGTAGCGTCTTTCCGTGTAGGGCGGCTGGGGTTCGTCGTATCTCATGGGGATGGAAGAGCCTGAGGATCCGCCCGTAAACAAGGACGAGAGCATGGGCAGAATAAAGAAGATCAATATGGGCAGCAGAGTCATCAGGTTCTGCAACCCGCCCTGCTGTTGCTCGGCTTCCTGTGCCTCTCGGGGTCGTCTCCTCGGTCTCGCGCCGCCAAACTGGTGGACCCGAATTCCAGGGCCGCCACCAAGATTGAACACGAACTGGGGACCTGTGTCGAAAGCTGCTCTGTCAGTGCACACAACTCCAAGCCAAAAAGCATCACGGGACCACGTTGTATCTCACCTCCGAACGGACCGCCGCCTCCAAATCCTCCGCCGCCGCCAAAGAATCTCGCAAACATCTCCTCTGGGCTGATCTCTTCCTCCCACATGCCCGCACCGCCGCGGCCCATTCCTCCCGACGCCTGCCGCGAGGCAAATCCCGCGAACGGGTTCTGCGCCTGTGCAGCGGCAAATCTGCTGTCGGGGTCGGTACCGAACTTGTCATACTTCTCTCGTTTCTCCTTGTCGCCCAGGATACCAAACGCTCGGCTGACCATCTTGAAGGCCTCGTCGGCGTGCTCGTGGCCATTCTTATCCGGATGGGTTAGAAGGGACTGTTTTCGATAGGCCTTCTTGATGTCCGCTTCCGTGCAGGTCGTCTTGACGCTTTCCAGCGCCAGGATGTCGTAAAAGGCTGTGGGCTTGCATTTTCGAATACGTATGACGGCCGCTTTTTGCTCTTCTGTGTACGCTCGCCCCTGGTTTCCCTGATTGTGATCGCGAGAACGAGCCGACGAGTCGCCGCCCGGGTTCGCCCCGGATGCTGTAGCGCTAGGCATCGAAGGGGAGGTGGAATGCGTAGGGACGACCGTCCCAGATGTATCCGCCTATGTAACGTGCGAGCTTTTCAGGCTTCGTTTGATGTCGGCACAAATGGGCGTGCGAGTCTGTCGGTCAGGCTGGGGAATTCGATGCAACGCCGCTTCCTGCAAGGCGGGCAGGCAGAAGGGGTTCCTGGGGCGGGACAAGGAACGTTGATATCTGTCCAATACGAAACCGGTTCGGCAATGAATTCGATGCTGATTTGGGTAGAAATCGCCAAGATTCTGCCATGCAAACAATTCGAATGCCCTGCTACTCCGATGCAATTCAAAATAGCAAAATGACGGATGGATGCGTTGTCGTACTCTAGACGGAATTCTGTCCACAATAATTTGGCAGCCTGCGGCCGTTCGAGAGGCTAGAGCCACCAAGGCCAACTGGCCTGGGGAACGCCGTCAACCGCCACGTGATGGTAAGATGCCTACCCTAGAGCTCCGATGTTTTTATGATACGTCTCAAAAAATCATCGTCGTCTTGCAAAAGTACTTGTAAGAGAGAGTTGTGGATAGTTATTTTTAGTTTCTATTTCTATAGATACATATGAATTGCCAAAAAAAGAAGAAGAAATTGAGCAGTGTTACATCTGCATTGCTCCAACGCAAAAATAAGCAATGATTCAAATGCACCTCAACAAAGCTTCTGCACATACATACCTGTCTGCTGGCTCGTACAAATTAGGGACAATTTTTTCTCATCACAACACTTGTAACCCGGTACGATCAATAAAATAGTACACCAATATACATATACCTACACATATAATCAAAGCCCTACGAACCCAAGAGGCAGACTGCAGACGATTTACATATCCATTGGACGATGAAATTCCATCGGCCAAAATCACGTGACCACATACTTGATCAACTTCGAGTCCACCCCGACGAAGTCTGCGCAGTCACCGACTCCCAGATCCAAAATGCAAGCAACTCGAGCGCTGTTAAAGCGCTCAGTGTGGAAAGGTACGCATCGAAACCTCCCCAAAATCGCCAAAAAAGTAAATTCAATTGCTGATTACAACCGCACAGGACCACACCTTGTTCCGTATGTTTCACAACCTCGATTTTCTGCAGCCCGCCCCTCGAACAGTCTCCCTAATGATTTGCGATGTGCTCCAGGCTCCCAATTGTATTCCCCAAGAAACAAGGCGACAAAGTTCCCCCCGTGCGAACACAAGCTCGCTCGGCGACCATCTTGCCCAACTTTGTCGGGCTCAAGTTTGAGATTCACAATGGCAAGGACTACCACCAGGTGACGATAACAGAGGACATGGTGGGACACAAGCTGGGCGAGTTTTCACCGTACGTTTGTGCCTCGCTTCGCTAAATGGTTTTGAAGGGGGGAAGGCAATGCTGACCACTGGCCTCGACAGGACTCGAAAGCCGAACATCTGGGATAGAAAGTAAGGCTATGGGGTGGGATGCCCAACGGTCAGAGCCGGACTCGTGTTTTGCTGCGACTTGTACAAAAGACATGTAACAATATGGCGAGTGATGACAAAGGTACAACGCAAGGCGCTCCAGTCTTCTTTTGTAGAAACAGTGGTTTTCTTCTTCTTTTTTCTTTTGTTTGTTTCATAAGCAGTCGTTTCCTGTATTTCTGCTATGCCCATGCGTCGCCTTGTGCCGACAATGAAAGCAACCAACGCCATGAGCCAAGCACTCAATCATCTACCCGAACCGCCCTCCGAGACGCCAAGCTCCCGAATTCCAAAGCCAAAACAAAAAGCAAGCCATAAACTATGCCGGTCCCGAGACGAGAGTGATGTACAAGACCCTGTGCTCTGCCACCTAGCGATAGAACTCGCTCCGCTTCACATTCACGCCATACTCCCCCACAGCCATGCCCAGATCCTCCATGGTCAAAACCGTCCTGTTCTGGCTCCCGCCCTGTCCTCCGCCACCGTACCCAGGGCGCTGGATTCCCAGCGGGGCGCCCTTCCCCTGGTCCTTGTTGCCAGGCTGACCTGCCTGCTGTCCGGGGATAGGGAACCCAGCGGCCGCGCCGAGCGTGCCCATCGGGTTGTTGGTGTTGCTGGAGGCGCGGATGCGACTGTACTGGTACGCGTCGGCGGCAATGTCGGCGATGAATTTCTGCGTCGCCAGGGCAAGCAGCCGCGCCAGGCGGGCGTCGGTCTGCGGCGGCGGCGGGAGGCCAGCCTTGGTCATGTAGTAGTTGGTCACGGCATCGGGAATCTATCGCGAGTTAGTCGCCTGCCACGATTTGAGCGCCGCAGACCTGGAGCCTGCGTTTGAGAACCCGTACAATTGGTGCGTAGTCGTCAATTTTGTTCAAAAACTCTCGTAATGACGTATCCTTTCGGGTTGGCAGTCTTGGATCTTGCGGCGCGAGCTCAGGCGGGGGGTTTGGGCCATCGGGGATTTCGTGCTGTTCTGTTTGCCCGTTTTGCGTGACAGTCTGGGGGTCGGAATTCTCTGGGGCGTCACTCGCCATTTTTTTGGGATGCCGAGCTTGGACGTGGTGGTTGATGGTTTTGATGGATGAAAGTGGGTGATCGAAGAGACGATGTCATGCGAGGCGATATCACGTGACTCCACTTTTGCCTGGTTCACAACAGGGTTTGAAAACATCAACGGCCTTTCGCTCGTCAGTTTGGATTGTATGAGATAATTTAATTTGTTTTGGTTCATTGGCATCGCCGTTTGTGGCGCCTGGATGCGTCAGCTTCCCGCCATTACCTCACATGCCGAATCACGGCTCACATGTTCAAAAACAAGATGCATGAACCTCGCGTCTTTATTTGCTGAGCTACAAACAGGGTGGACTAGCCTGACTGTGCCGTGAAGACGGGTTATCATTTCTGCCTCTTGTCATCGTCCCTTTTAATATTCCATAGACGCATCGTCTCCTTCTATTATCGTAGCATCATGCCAGGGTCAATCTACACCCTTGGCCGTGCAAACGCCGAATCTCACAACCACTAAATTTCAGTATTTTCGCCTTCAACGCCACCATGCCAGCCATTTAAAGGCAGTATTGAATTCTTTTATGCTATTTGCGGATTGAAGCATTGTACGTGCTTACAAAACGCAAAAAAATATATCGTATTGTTGTCTTGTCGTACAGTTGGCCTTCATTCGCGATGTTTGTGTAGTTGGATGGGAAAACATTTGTCACGGATGATCATCTCGTACAAGACTGAGCCTCACCAGGAGTTTATCTGTGGAGCTCAGGGCTCCTTAGACGGGGAGCTTGAACTTCTTGCCCTTGAGGACTTTGGTGTAGTAGACGTAGAAGAAGTCACTGTATAAGACAGTCTGAATGATACCGGCAATGATGGCGATCCAATCGGTCTTGTAGTGAGTGTCCATGAAATACCGGTAGATCCAGTTAGGAATGTACAGGGCTCGGTAGATACCCAAGGCGAACAAGTAGTGCGTCGTGATGGTTTCAGCCTCGCCAGTTCTCTGAAGCATGAAGAGCTGGGGAAGGATGGCCACAGACTCCAGCCAGATGGAAAAGGCCCACATGATTTCGGAAAAGGTGTACTTGTAAGGGAACAGAACGGCCAGCACGGCGGCGCCAGCGAGGAGGTACTGAACGCGGAAGGTGTCCACGTTGGGATCGTTTGTAGGCTTGTAGGCGTTGGTCATGAGGTAGATGATGTATCCCTGGGATCCGATGAACATGATTTTAAACGCCAAGTTGTATAAACTCTCTGTCGAGAAAAGGTCTGCACAGGTTGCTTGTTAGCTTCTGCAGGTGGCCCCTGGCAAGGGAGTCCAGTTCGAAGCGTACCGAGATATCGCGTCACATAGACGAAGAGATAGAGGGCTTGTGATTTGAACGAGATGCCGGAACAGCTCTGCTGAATGTTAGCGAATGTTGTAACGAGGCACGTGCGGTTGAGTTGTGTTTGTCTTCGGAGGCGGCGGAAGGGGGGATGGCATGTACGTTAAGCTGGGTCATCTTGTGTAGCAAGATCAGGATACTCGCCAAATGCGAGAAATCCGCTGCGAAAAGAGTTAGCTGCCTTTTCCGTGTCTACATGATGGCGTCGCGCAGCGCATGACAGCGCATGGCCGGGGGGAAAGGGAGGGACGAGACGGGCAGCGACGGGTGACGCACCAGCAACACGGAATACGTTGAGGACCATTTTGACTATTGCGCACTTGCGACGGGAGGCGCGTCGATAGATTCGCACGAGTTGGACAATTGGAACTGAAGGGCTCTTCTGGTTGGAGAAGAGATGAGGAGATTGCCGTCAGCGATGGGTGTTGCCAATTTCGAGAAATCGAAGGTTGCATGAATAGGACAGGAGAAGGGAGCTCAATTAGATGGCCAGCGAGTGCTAAGCATGGAGTGCGATGAAAAAGGACACGACGCGGGTATTGGCTTTAAGAAGCAAGACTCTGGACGGTGACTGGTTAGAGAGCTCATTAGGCCCATAAATCTCTGGTAGCTAACTATTACACTTTAGAGGGCACTAATTGTAACGATAATGTATATATACAAGTCCATGTTTAGCTATAAAAGAGAGAACTATATGCGCTCTTTTTTATAAGTGCGCTTATTATTAGGGTTATTTACTTGTAGTTAAGAGTTTACTCTTATTTAATTATACGTGTGTAATTAGTACTTATAATAAGTAACTTATTTTAATATACCTCTTAATTAAGCCTATTATTAAGGCTATTATAAGCTCTCTTTTTCTTATTTAAATGCTTAATTAAGCGTTAAAGCTATAATTATAAGCTTAATTATATATATCTTACCTTTTCTTAATATTTTAATTAACGTAATTTTTTATTAATTAAGAGTTAACCTATTAACCTTTTATTTATTAAGGTAAGTTAAATATAAGCTATACGTTCTTATTAATTATACTTATTTTACTTTTATATACGTAATTTATTAATATTATTAGCTTCTTTTTTCTTTATTATATATTACTTCTTTAATTATAATTACATTTTAATTAATATTATATTAATTTAAAGGCATACGTTACCTTAAGGTTATTAAAGTATATAAAACGTGTTAAATACCTCTTAATAATAACTATTAAGCTCTTATTACTTACTTTTAAAGGCTTTTAATATAAAGCCTTCTTCTCTTAATAAAATAATTAAAGTTACTCTTAAATTACTTAATTACTTTAATAATTAATAATAAGAGATTAATAAAGCTTAATATATTAAACGTTAATTAATTATTAAGAAAGCTAAGAAACTATTAGTATTATATTTTATAAGCTATTAATATATTAATTAAATTTATTA